CTGTAAATCTTCACCCAAATCACAATTAAAAAAAAAAAAAAAAGAAATAACCAAACACCTAGCAGAATGAAGTTCCTCGCCTCAAAGGTAAAGGATCACAGACTCGGGGGACAGCTAAGTCAATTGGTACCACATAGTTCATAAGACAATGTTCTGCTTCCTACTTTGGTGAGTAGCATGTGGGGTCTGAAAAGCTTGTAAGCAGCCATCTAAGACACCACTATTGGTCTCTTCTAGTCCAGAGCAAAGGAGAGTGAAGAAAACCAAAGACTCCAGGGAGTAATTAGTCCAAAGGACTAATGGACCACATGAATCACAGCCTAGTTCCCCATAAGCAGAACTAGATGGTGCCCAATTACCATTACTGACCACTCTGACTGGGATCACAACAGAGGGTCCTGGATAGAGCAGGAGAAAATTGTAGAACAAAAAATCAAATTCACAAAAAAGACCAGACTTACTGGTCTGACAGAGATGGGAGGAACCCCCAAGATTGCGGCCCTAAGGCACCCTTCTGACCTGGCCCTGAAGCCATTCCCGGGGACCACCTTTCAGCCAAACAATAGGCCCGTAAAATAAATAGTAACACTCAAGAGGATCATGTTCCTTAGAACAATTATATGAGATCAAAAGGGCAACATTTGTCCAAAGGCAAAGATGAGAAGGCAGGAAAGGGTAGGAAATTTGGACAAAAGGAAAAGGGGAACCTGGGACAGAAATGGGGAGAGTGCTGACACATTATGGGGAATGCCACCTATGTCATGGGACACTTTATGTACTACTAATTATCAAAGGGAAACTAATTATCTCTGTAAACTTTCACCAAAAGCAAAATAAAAAAGTTAAAAAAATAAAATAAGCTAGCTTTCCCTTTTATTTTCCAAAAAGAAGTATATAGAATAAGCAAATACAAAAAAGTTTATTGCTGGTTTGCAGGTGTGGGGAGGAAGGGAGAAATGGGTGAGTCACTGCTTAGGGGGCACTTAATTTCCAGTAGGTCTTAGGAAAAATGTGGAAATGTATAGTGGTAATGATTACACAACATGGTGAAGGTAATTAATGTGTGTAGAGATAAAACGGCTGAAATGGCACAAGTGTTTTATTATATATATTTTACCAGAATAAATTAAAAATAAAACAAAAAGTCTAAGACTTGGGCTCTCAGGGAACTTTTACACTGCTCAGTGAAAGAGGACAACTGTGCATGCTGAGATGAACCTCAGAGGCAAAAGAGAAATGCCATGGAAACTGCTCAGACAGTGAAGAGAAAGAGGCGGGCTGCCAGGGAACCCAGCGTCTAAGCTGACTCCTGGGGGCCTAGGTGCCCTTGTGGGTTTGGCCCACTCAAGCGGTTTCCCTGCAGTGGCTGGTGGTCATCCCACAGAGCAGTCCCAAGAGTGTAAGTAACCTTCAGTGCCTAAAACCCTTCACTCTTGGCCCAGCCTTGGGACAGGAAGCCCTAACCTGCCACCCAGGGAATTTCAGCTACAGGGCTGACACACTGGGGATGAGGAGTGCAGGAGACAACCTGGCAGGACCAGTGATTAGGGAGGTTGAGCAATCATCTCACTCAAAGAGAGAATCTGCCAATTCCTGAATGGGAGAAAAGAATCTGATCTGAGGATAGAAACATGACCACATTCAGCTTCAGGAACTGGGCCTACTTTTCACCCTAGTTTGACTCCCAGACACATTGCATATCATAGGACAGGTAGGATGAACATGTCTTAAGATCACTTCAAGAACTGAGGAGGTCAGGCCCCAGAGATTGGGAAAAGGAGAAAAAACATTTTCTTCAACTCTCAATCTAATCCCAAGACCCAGGGATTCCCAATGTCAGTCACAGAGATTTCTTTGAGGAAAAAAGTGTTGGGTGTCCCTAGCAGCCTAAGATGTTACCAAAACAAGAAAAAAAAAAGGAAGGAGGAGACATGAGTAACTCCAGTGTCACCACAAACCCTGCCTCTGCTGTATTCTAAGACTGTTCTGCCTACTGCCCTCCCTACCAGGTGAACCAGAAGTTCCAAGAGATAAGACCGGCTCACCCACGTACCAGAGAACTCTCCTCCTGGTCCCTACTTCACCCCATCCTCTCAGCCTCACTCCTTTTCCCATTCCCTTTCTTCATCCACTCCTTCCACACCTAGGTGGTACTATTCCACAGCTGACAACAAGGTGCACTGGAGTCCCTACTCCTTAAGACTCCAGTAAAACTCCAGGGTGCTCCTCCTTCACCCCACCTGCACACCCTCCAGATTCTCAACCACTCTGGTTGGCTGGCATCAACTCCAAAGAAATCAGCTAATTCCCATTACAATGCCCAGGTCCCTCCACCCTTTGGTGATAAGGAAGCAGTTGCTGACCCCAAAGGGATCTTTACTGAAATTCCTAACTTAGGATGCTCCAAATAAAAAATCAAACTCACTGCTGTCGAGTCGATTCAACTCGTAGTGACCCCTCCTTGAGTTTCCAGGCGGTATCACTACGGAAGTAGTTTGCCCAAGCTTCCTTCCAAGGAGTAGCTGGTGGGTTTGAACTGCCAGCCTTCTGGTTAGCAGTCAAATGCCTTAGGCACTACGCCACCAGAGCTCCTACTTAGGATGCTACCAAACCAAAAACTAAACTCACTGCCGTAGAGTCGGTTCCGATTCATAGCGACCCCTCCTTGAGTTTCTGAGGCAGTATCTCTATGGAAGTAGATTGCCCAGTCTTCTTTCCGAGGAGTGGCTGGTGGGTTTGAACCTCCAGCCTTCTGGTTACCAGTTAAATGCCTTAGATACTATGCCACCAGAGCTCCTCCTACTTAGGATCCTAGGCAGACGGAAACAGGACACAAGAACCCCTCCTTGACCTGGTCTCTTGACTGTGAAGACCAGATTTCTAGACTCCTCCCCTCTCTAATGGAGTCTCTAGCTTCTCCAAAACAGGACCCTAAAAACTCTTGGTCTTGCCCTAAGTTCCTTCAGCCTTAGAAAAAAATACTGAAACCCAGGTCCCATACCATACACTAGGACAGGATATCAACCTTTCTTGAAAAAACCTCCCCAAATGATTCTAACATTCATGTAAAGTTGAGAAACACTGGATACTCACCCGCTCATCCCCTCGTGTGGATTCATTGTCCAGCAGGGGCTCTCCTGGAGCCTGGATTGTCACTGACTTGTCTCCACGGCTCCCATCCCGGCTCTTAGAGCGGTGTCGGTCCCGGCGGTCCCTGCAGCAAGAGGTGAGGGGAAGGCACAGGTTAGGGAAGGAATGGGGCCTCTCAGCAGCCACCCCTACCCACCATCTCTCAAATGTGCCCAACCCTCCCTCCACTACCTGTCACCCTCACATGCACGCCCACCTGTGCTTGCGGGAGCTGCGGGAGTGGCCCGACTTGTAGGAATAGCCCGAGTACTGGGACTCGGTGTCCATGGCGTCTGAACGCCGCGCCTTGTAGCGCTCCAGGGCCACAGGCTGGAGCCTCTTGGGGGGCCCCACAGCCACCTCCTTCAGCACCGGCTTCTTCAGGCCAAGAGGCACCTTCAGGAAGTCAACCGTCACCCTGAGGGACTCTATTTTGCTGGACGGGTGGGCCTGTCTCAGAGAAAATCAAGCGACGCTCCTGAAGAGAGGAAGTAGCTGGTTAGAGCTTGCAGAGAGCGAGACCATCCCCAGATGGTAACAGCAGGAAGTTCAGATGAGACCAGCCATTGCCCAAGAATGTTCCTATCCAGGTTCGGTTGCCCTGTTGAATGGGTTCAGGTCTCCTTGCCTTGCCTCCTAGAAAGACTCCTAGATTATGCCAAGAGCTCAGAGGTAGGGGGAAGAGGGTCAGCAAAGGCTCCCAGGGAGGAATGGTCAAAATGACCAAACCTTGAACACCCTGGAGGAGAGGATCCAGGCAGTGCTCTCCTAGTCTCAAGCAGGAAAACTAAGGCTTGAAGAAGACAAGCTCTGGACAGTAGACAGGATGAACCAATGGAGATCTTGGAGAGGAGAAAGCAACTGGATTCTGTCAGGAAACTACCTCCAGGTCTCACCCTGCCCTCCCAGCCTTACACATACGTACATACACACACACACACACTTTCTGAGCATGCACACAAGGGGCTGCCTATGGCTGCTTCTCTTGCACCACGTCCCCAACATGTACATTAAACATACTCAGTAACTGGTCAGGTCAGGTCAGCTGCTCTCCTTAAGGCTGTGTGTGAGGATGCATGCACACACACAGCCTAGGTACACACACTAGGAGGAGGGAGCAATGATAAAAACTATGGAAAATGTGATGCAAGCAAGAGGAGAAACCATTCTCTCCAAAAGCCTAATGTCCTGAAATAAGCAAGATCATGAGTTTCTCTGGCTACTCATGGGCTAAGGGGCAGTGTCTTATCTATACTTATACTTTCTAGTTCTACAGAGGAAAATGACCTCTCCTTCCCACATTCTCCTCCCCAGCCCTCATCCAAATCCTGCTCATTCTTCAGAGCCCAGCCTCCAACATCTCACAGAAACCCTGTCCCTATCTGCTCCAGCACCCAATGTTATCTTCCCCCTCTGACTCCAGACCACTAACAGTCATCACCATGCTCTGAGCTCTTATTTCCTACCTTTATCCACTGATTAATCAAATCTTGCTACCTTAAACTGAGTGGTTCTGGAAGGTCTCTTGAGAAAATGACCCTTAACTAGAAAGACCTGAAAGAAAAGTTAACTAGGCAAAGAGTAAAGGGAAAAGCTTTGGAGCAGAGGAACAGCAATAGGAAGGCCTGAGACAGGAAACAGCTCAGACATGAAGAAGAAGGCCAGTGGGGATAGAACTGAGGAAGGGAGAAGGCTCTGGAAGCTGATGCTGAAGAGAAAGCCAAATGCCAAGTTATTGCAAGATACCAGGGGTCAGGTAAGGAGCTTCAGTCTTATTCTAAGGGTAATGGGGAATTTTCAAAGGATTTTAGCTATGCAGGTATGAGCTGGAAAGAGAGAAAAGCAAGTATAGGGAGGTTAGACAGGAGACTACTGCAGTGGTCCAGGCTTGGATCAGGGTAGAACAGTGGAAGGGGTAAGAAACAGATATGTTTGAGACATACACTAGTGGTAGAATCAGTAGGCCCTAATGAAGGAGTGGTTGAGGCACAGGGAAGTGTGAATAATCCCAAGCCTGAGCAAGTGGGTGGAAAACTACTGCCATTGAGTAGTCCCTATAGGACAGAGCAGAACTACCCCCATAGGTTTTCCAAGGCTGCAAATCTTGCCGGATGCAGACTGCCTCATCTTTCTCCCATGGGGGCAGCTGGTGGGTTCAAACTGCTGACCAGTTGGTTAGCAACCCAATGCTTTAACCACTGCGCCATCTGAACTCCTTAGGAGGTGGGTAGTAGTGCCATTAATAAGGTGGGGAAAACTGAGAAAGAAGCAAATTTGGAGAGAAAGACAATTGAGCTCTGTTCTCAAAGTGCTAAGTTCATTGAGGCGAACAAGTAGGCAACTGGCTGGACAAAACTGGACTCAGAGTAGAGTCTGAGCTGGAGGTATCAACAGTGTTCAAAGTCATGGGAATGAATAGGAACCCCTAAGGAGAAGATGGAAATAACAAAGAGAAGAAAACCCAAGACAGATCCCTGAGAACTCCAATATATAAATGTATCTAGAGGAAAAGGAGCAAGCAAAGGAACTGAAGAGGGAAGCTTGAAGGAGAAGGGCCAAAAGACTGCAGGCTCATGGCACCCAAGAGTATTTTGAGGTGGGAAGGTGGGAATAATCAACCAAGTCAAATGCTGCTGAGAGGTCAATTATGTAAAGCACTAAAATGGATTTGCTTTCTATAACTGTTATCTTTTCTCCAACCAAACTAAACTGCCAGCAACCTTAGAATAGTAAATATGACTGATATATATTTGGATCCACCTATACCCTCCCATGGGAACACAACAAGTAATTGATAACAACCTGGTAAATGGATATGCTTCTCTGACTCTCAGGGAAAGTACAACAACAGTAGGGAGATGAAATCAGTGCTAAATCCATTCAATTATTTTCCTAACAGAGTTATCTGGAGGCAATCCATGGGCTAGCACATTTGCCAATATCCCTGTGTCAAGGCAAGTGTGTGATCAGGGCACATTTAGAGGACAGAGACATAACTCCTTAACCCAAACCTAAATCTTTCTAAGAACCTTTGCTATAAAAACAGGGCCTTTGTCATTTCCTTGTCTGCAAATTACATCTTGGGTTTCTTCTACTTTCTTTCCTGAGGACCCACTCTAAAGGCTTACTTCTCGATATAGCTTAGATGTCTCACCTGTACCTCACTCTCTCGTGCTTGTGTTTCCAGTCTATTCTCCTCTTAAAAACTGAATTTCACAGGAAAGCTCAAAGAGAGTGAGTGGGTCACAGAGCGTGGGTGGGGAAATAAAGGGGAGAAGAACTGTCGTGAATATGAGTCTAGACATGGACATTATAGCCAGAATCTCCATATCCTCACCCTCACCCTGAATACTCACATCCACCAGAGCTAAAAGCAAAAAAAAAAAAAAAATGCCTAGGATTTGCATCCAAGTATCTGGGGTCAAAATCTAATTCTGCCGCTTACTAGCTGTGTGACCATGGACAAGTTACTTAACTTCTCTGTACTTTATAGTCTGGTAGACTCATCAGTATAATAGGGAAGATGGTAATAACTACTTCATGGAATTATTCTGAGGATCATGTGAGTGAAAGAAGTGCTTTATAAACTGCTCAGCTAGAAATCAGTTAAGCAATTAATAAGCTCTGGCTCCAGGATCATTCATACTCCAATCCCAGACACTTCCTCTGAGACAGGGGGAAAAGATGGTATAAATAAACTCTGTTGTTTGGATGGCTAAATAAAGAAGTCACACACATATACACACTTTCTCTCTCTCTCTCTACCAGAACCACTACTTCAAACACACCCAGGAAGAAAGTTTCCCCTACCAATGTATTTCAACTCAACAAGGGTTCCAGTCCCTTCCCAACCATTCTGAGCTGCTCAGCCTAGAATCCCCTATCTTCCTCCCCCACTACTTATTAAAAAGCCAACACTGATCCTGCTCCCTAGGTCCATCTCTCACCCCTACCAATCCAAGTCAGGGTGCCCAGAAAGCACCAAAACATGTGCCTCTCTCCTCCACCAAACACAGGGGCAAAAAATTAACCCAACTGCTGAGACTCCTGTTCACTACTCTCTCAAGTACCCCCAGAGAACAATTTTAAGTACTGGAGAGGCTGGGGTGGGGGGAGGGAGGCAAGCAAAGGAAAGGGCAGAAGTTCCCCTTATTTAATCAGTCTCAGGAATCAGGGGTTTGGAGGGTCTCCCGGGTGGGCAGTGTTCCCAGGGAAGAGAGTGGGGGGAGGGGATCACTGGATGAAATCAACAAGTGGAAATGACAGGGATGACGATGCTGAGAAAGGAAGGGAAGTCCGGACTTGGTGCGGGGCAGGGTGCTGGCAGTTGGGGTGGGGGTGCTATTAAAAGGGACTGTGTCCTATTGCTTTTTACCTTGCCCCCATCCCCAAGACACACAAACACACACACTCAGTTCCCTGCTCAAACCAACCATGGATTATCTGGGGTTAAAAGGAGGCCAGAGAGGAGAGAGGGAGGGAAGAGGGAGCCCATCACAAAAAGGAGACCCTTCTCCCGTCCAAAGGCCTTTCAGAAATAAAATTAATGGAATGTGTCTCAGTATCATCCCAAGGGGACTGGGAGGCGGGTTAGGGGGAATGTAGGGGCTTTTGTCCAGGCTGCCCAGCTTCTCCCACATTGATCACCATGGCAACCAAAGCCCCCTGTTGCCTAGGTGATGGCAGCTGGGTCCTGGAACCCATACCCAGCATCCAAAGCGAGGGAGGTTATGGAGAGGGGGTGATTAGGGACAGAGGGGGAGAGAATGGGGTTTCTCCTCTGGCGGCCCCAGCTTTTGTCTGAGGTCTGAGATCAGGTTTCTTCAGGAAACAATTGAAGGCCTCTGGAAAAAATATACTCAGAACCTGGCAACAAGCAGAGGGAGTAAGGTCCTGGGATACGCTGGGATGCGGGGTGATTGGTGTGGCCAAATGCAGACCAAGAACAGATCCTTCCCCATTCCCCCACCGAGAGAAGGCAGAGAGGTGGACAAGGCCTTGGACACAAACACAGGCTCCTAGTGTGAGGCAGTGTGAGGCACGTCCTGAGGACTGGTGACCTGATAACAGTCAGCAGTGACCACTCTTTCTTTCTCCCACTGCTCCATCTCTGGTCCACCCCAGAGCCCAGTAACAGCTACTTTAGGCCTGGGGTAGGGCAAGGAGGCATACCAGAGATAAGGACAAGGCTGGCAAAAAGCACCCTAGGAGCCAGGATGACACATCCAAAGCAAAGGTGGGGAGGGAACAGAATCCAGACACGTATCTAAAAAAAGAGCACCACTATTCCTCATCTCTACTGACAGCATATCCAGAAGCACTAGACATGCTGTGCACCACAGGCACTTGGGTTTGATTTTTAAAGAACTTTTGGTCACAGAGCGGAGGAAGCTGGAAGCAAAGACGAGAAGCCAAAACTTCTCTGACAGGGGTAGGGCAATGTTCATTTAAAAAAAAAAAAAAAGTTTTCTCTCGTCA